GAAGATGAGGAGGATAAGGAGTGGAATGAAGAGAGAGGAGAAGGAGAAAGGGAGGGGAAGTAGAGCAGGAAAGGATGATGGAGGGAAGAAAGGAGGTAGGAGAGAGGCAGAAGAAAGAGGTGTATGGAGAGCAGAAGAGCCAATAATGGATTTTTATCTTTCTGGGCGTTGATGACAAGAGGAACTGATGTAATTACTACTTAATACAAATAGGATATTGGCTATGTAATAATATACATGTGATTATATGTTATGAAAATGGAAAATAAAAAAAGTATATTTAAAAAAGAAAAGACTAAGGGTCGTGGGCCTCCTTCATCCTTCTTCTCTGACCTTTCCATTTCAGGCTAAACCAGACAACGCACCCAAGCCCTCGGCCCCCTCCCCACGGAGCGAAGCCAAGAAGCAGGCAGAGGTTCCTCCCAAGAAGGCCAGCAGCCCGCAGGTCAACGCCTTGGTGGCCCGTCTGCCTTTGCTGCTCCCCCGTGTGCAGGTCCAGCCCAGGGACCACTTGGTGGTGTCTCCCGGGACAGCGGCTGTCCACTCTCCCCACACCATCCTGGCTCCTAAGCTTACCCCCACCCACCAGGTGGCGGGAACGGTCAAGATGGCGCTCTCCGTGGGGGCACCCCCCTCCACTTTGCTAGCCTCGGCTGTGAATGGACCCGCCAGCTTGGTCAGCCAGCCGGCCGCCGTGCCAGTTATCAACATGGTGCCAGTTATAAACGTGGCGGTCCCACCCGTAGCCGAGAACCGGCCGAAGCCCAAAAGTGTCTCCAGTGGGGCCAGCGGAACGTCCAGTGCTGCTGAAGCTGAGCGGAGCCAGGGTGAGCCGCAGAAAGTCAAGAGCCCCACCAAGCGGCCGGCGGACCGACTCAAGGAGGTGACCGCGAAGAAGAAGCGTGGCCGGCCACGGAAGAAGCCGGATGAGCCTCCCGTGGTGGAGAGCAGCATCCTGAGAAAAGAGCTGTCTAAAAGCAAGGAGGATTCAGACTCCGTTGTGGTGCCGGCAGCTAGCAAAGAACCCCCGGCCGCTCCAAATTCTCCCCCCCAGGACTTTCCAAAAGAGAGTTCCCAAGCAGAGCCCCCCCTGGGATTGGAGGTCAAGACACCGGCCCCCACGCAGCCGACACCGGCCCCCACGCAGCCGACACCGGCCCCCACGCAGCCGACACCGGCCCCCACGCAGCCAACACCGGCCCCCACGCAGCCGACACCGGCCCCCACACAGCCGACACCAGCCCCCACGCAGCCGAGAGAGGAAAGGCCACTCGAGGCCAGGCACCGCATTGTGGTTCCTCCCAGGAGGATCTTGCCTTACCACCTCAGCGTCATCCGAACCACAAAGCCCCGTCCTTTCATGCCGACGCCCATCAGATGGGCTCCCCGGGAGTCCCCGCCACTGGAACAGCCGGAGATGTACAGCTATGAACCTGACATGCAGCCCACGGATCTTTCTATGAAATCTCGTCCGCCGCTGTCCAGGGACTGTCCAACAACCTCGAGCTCGTGGGCGCCCGCGGGACGTTTGCAGCGGATTGGCACGGACCGTGAAAAGTCGGCGGAGGCCGCGGGCAGCTCGGACGCCACAAGATTAGGCCACAGATGATCCCCCTCCCCATTCTGCTTCCCTTCACAGTACTCCCAAAGACCAACCCGACCCACGTGCGGAAAGGAAATCCGGGAGAGCATGAGCCGGCACGGCGCTTTCACCCAAACTCATTTGAACATTGATGCTTCTCTTTCCCAAAGGTGGGAAATGCAAACGGGGAGGGGGGGGGGCTTTCAGACAGGGGCCGGTCTGCGAAAGTCAAGATATTGAGAAGGAAAAGAGCTGCTCGAGGCAGAACGAAGAGAAATGTCCATTCTTCGATGTTGACACTTGGGGGTTATGTTTCACCTGGGAGGGGGCTGGTGGGGGAGGGATGGGTGCTGTGGCATTGCGTGTGGAAACCCTGTGGACGCCAGCAGCCTTTTGTCTTTCAGAGACAATCATTTCACAGCCAACTTCCCAAAGATTTTGCTCTCCTCGGGCTTTGCGTCGCTTTCAAGCTGAAGTTTGAAAAAAAAGGGCACCACCGTCCCATTTCACGCTCAATTTTGTTTGGAAATCTTTGCTTGCCTTCTTCCTCTCTCCCTCTCCCTTCTCCATTCATGGCTTTGTCTGTAAATCCTGAATAAAGTTAAACAGAGGGTTTTTGTTTTCTTTAAAAAAAAAAAGGGACTCGGTTTCTTTTGTCGAGTTGGGACAAAATCCCTGCTCTTGCTTGGCCCAGGAAGTTTGAGGAAGGCCAGGATCTCCCCACCTCCCGTCTCTGATCAGGGAAGAGCTTCCCTCACTTTCAGCCTGGGACTACGCCTGCCATCCTCCTCCTCCTCCTCGGCCAGAGACAAACTTGGCTTTTGGGAAAGCGTTAGGAGCCCAGGAGATGAAAATATGCTTTTATTCTTTACCAGCCCAGTTAGGGGTTGGCCTTTCAACCGGACTTGACTGAACTTGCAAGATCCGGTTAGTGCAAGGATGGGAGACCAACAAGGAAAGCCAGGGAGTCAAAACGAAAGAACCTTTGGTGCCCTTGCCAAGAAAGCTACATAAACTAGTCCATCAAGTCAAGGTGACTTAAAAGACTCGAGTTGCGTTGTTGCATCGGTCGCCGAGGCACTGCCTCTTTTTGACCACTAGGAGTCGCTGCGATACCAGCAGCTGAGTTCTGAGCCTTCGCTTGGGACGGTGTTGGCCATCCAGCCGTTCCTAATCCGGACTGAGCCATGGGACGAAACCATGGGACAAAAGAAAAATGTGATCGTGTCGCGTTTTGACACAACTCGGGCAGGGGCTAGAAGAGACGGGATTTCCACCAGCGGGAGTTCAGGATACGAAAAAAAAACCTCAGCAAAACTAAACAGAACTGAATTCTCTCGATTTGAGGAGGCTCAGCCCCCGCCTGGTGTGTTCCTGGGGGAGCCAGTCCCATCCTCAAGCAACTCTGCACATGCCCAGGGGGACAGAAGAAAGTGTTTTGTTTTTTTTAAAGGAACTCAACTTTTTTTGTAGGGTGTGTGTGTGTTTCTCCTTGAAAATGTTTCACTTCTCATCCGAAAAGCTTCCTCAGTTCTGATCCTCAATGGATTATACAAGAAAACTGGGTGAAAGCCTCCAATGAGGACTCCAGCCAGGCCCGGGGAAACAAAAAACGGCTGGTCTGTTTCCATTCCTGCTGACGCGAATTACAGAACGGAACAAAAGACCAGAGGACTGCTGAAGTCATCCAGATCCAGCCAGGCCTGCTTGGGACATTATGTGCCGGGCAGATACATTCCAGAGTCCTGAGTCAGGGCTGGTTGGCCTGCCAGATTGAAGGTAAACAAGCCTCTGGGATTGGATTCCTGCTTGGCTGATACCTGAACCCCGAGTTGGAGGACCGAGGGGTGGGGTGGGGGGAAGCAGGCAAGTTCCAACACGCAGAAAAGACGCTTCTGGAAACCAAGCAAGCTCAGAAAGACACTGGCTGTTTTCCTCTCCCACCCCCGGAGGCTGCAAAGCTGGGTGGCTGATCAGAATCGGGTTTTGTCCCGTCTGGACCAAGAGTGGGTGATTCTGGCCCCTTTAGGCGATCCATAAGCTTCAACTCCTAGAATTGGGAGTCCATCGGACATTGAGAGCCCACCCACCTTTGACGTTTGTAGGACCCAAAGCCAGTGGCCACCTCACTGGGAACCTGCCCAGATATTTTGTAGAAAAAGGGGGATTTGAATGGGGGATGTTGCTTCCACCACCACCACCACCACCACCAATGCGTGCAACTTTCCGAGGAAGAATTAATGAGTTGGAAATTATTCCTGCAACTTTTGCAAAAAATCGGGCTTCGGAGACCGACGGCAAGTGCCCAAGAAGCAGAACTTGGGATTGTGTAGAACAATTGGCTAAAAGGGCTGGAAGAAGAGAAGATCCTACAATAACTAATAGAGCTTCCAGCTTCCTAAAGCAGTCTATCTTGCTTAAGGGAGAGGTCAGTGTGGGCGTTTCCCGTTGGCAGCTGCTCAGCTCATTCCCGACTTGTTCTTTCCAACTGCAAAGCGCAAGAATGCCGATCGAAGGGAAAGTTATTTTCCCCACCGTTATCTTGTTTCTGTTTCTCCGAAGCAAGAGATCTATCTTCTCTTTCGTTATAAAACGTAATTAAAAAAAAAAATCCCCTTTTGTTGCCTTAGCTGCCCTTAAGCCAAGGCCAGCTATATCTCGGGGCATTGTGCAAAGGCGCCACCTTGGAAACCAATTCAAAACAGAAGAAATTCAAACAATTCACTTGGCAACTGTTGATACTGGATTCCCCCCCACCCCCAATCCAACCCACACTCCCACTCAGGGATGTGCGGAGACAAACAGACAAAACTTGGCTTGGGAGCCTTTTTTCGATCGATCAGAACAGAGATTGAACACATCTTATCCAGTCCAACGCCTTCTTAAAAACCTACAGTTGATGAAGCACCTCCAATTTCTGGTGGCAAGCTGTTCCACTGGCGAATTGTCCTCCCTGCCAGGAAGTTCCTTCTTAATTCCAAGTTGCTTCCCTCCTTGCTCAGTTCCCATCCGTTGCTCCTTGTCCTGCCCTCAGGTGCTTTGCGAAAGAAGTGGACCCCCTTCCCTTTGGGGCAGCCCCTCAAATATTAGGAAGGCTGCTGTCCCGTCCTCCTTTTCTCTAGGCTGGCCACACCCAAAGTCTGCAAATTCTGTTCTTCAGACGTTTTAAGTCTCCAGGCTTTTAATCATCTTGGTGGTTCTTCTAACCCTTCTGGCTAGGCAGAATTTCAACTTGGGGCCCAAAGCAATTTGCCAAAGGTAGATATGGCCACAATCTCCGGCAGAGGCAGCGCCACGGAGCTACGGTTCAGGGTTGCTATGCCAGGAATGTGAGTAACTCCCCCGCTCTTCAAAACTCAAAAGAAAAGGGGGGGGCAGACAAAATTTTGTTTACTGAAACCAAAACTGGTTTAGGTGGTCTGCCTGGAGGGTGTGTGTGTTCCTGTAGGTACAAGGATTGAGAAATGTAGAGCAACCTTTTCCCCTCTTCTCACATTCAGCCCCACGAGTTCTCTTAACAAGATGACTGAAGCCTGACTAACCCAACATTGAGGACAACGTGTGCGAATCACCCAGGGCTTGGCAAGAACAATGGGGCTTTTTTTAGCCGCCTTGCGAACAACCAAGCAGAGAAAAATGCTAGGAATGAGTGCCGCCAGACCTACTGGGGCGAGAGAGGGAGGGAGTGGGTGGGGGGGAGAGTCTGCTATCCAGGATCAGGGGGGGTGTAAACCTCATTTAGCAAAGTCCTGAACAGGTTCGTTTAGTGCAACTCGCAAGGCGCCAAAGAGGAAACCCGCGTCATTTCCAAAAACCAGGATGCTTCTCCCTCTGTATACAAGGATCTGAACTCTTCATTTTTCTGGACTGCTGACGAATAGTTTTCCAGTTCTGAGCCGGGTTTTTAAGGAGAGAAGATGCCACTTGGGCATCAATCAAAGCTCTGGATTGGGAGGGCTCGAGTGAGGTTTTCCCCAAGCCGGCTCCAAGTTCTCTCTCTTGCGGATCCACCAGAAGAGGTGGATTCCTCCCTGAATCCGGGGGATCTCCAAGGAGACTGTGACGTTCTGAGGAGGGTGAGCAGAGCAAGGCCCGAGTGGAAAGGAAGAGGCCTACAGATCGCTGAGTCCGGAGATCGTGAAACAATTAAGGCGTTTATTTTTTTTAAAATGCTCAGCTTCCTTCAAATCCCACCCTCTTCAAAGTGGAGAGTGTTTAGAGTGTTTAGAATGTTTATTATAATTTATAGGCCGCCCTTTTCCCTGAGGGGACTCAGGGCGGCTTACAAAACACGGGGAGGGGGGTACAAAGACAAAAAAAAGCATAAGACAATACATAATATTAAAAATAGCATCCAAATGGAACAGCTTGCTCCCTGGAGCCCCTTCACGCGAACCGCTCGGCGTCAAGATCCTAGTCCTCGTGACTGTGCATTCAGCAGATTTAAAAGGAACACGGGAGGGGGGGAAATGGAAGACGAGGGAGACCCTGAGACCCTGCTAAATCCAGGCATCGCAACCTTATACACGCACATCAGCTGTGATTGTGCAAGATTGAAATGAGAATGAAGACAATTCCGTGCTTTCGGCGAAACGGGGCTGGCTGGGGCGACAGCGCAAACCAGCAGGGAGCCTTTGTGTCGAGTCAGCAGGCCCAACTGGCTGGGCTGTGCGTTTTGCAGAGTCCTCGTGCGCACAAGGGCTGCTGGGAGGGAGGACTTCCGGGTCCCCACGGAGAGCAAGACGGCACTTTGCGTCTGGCCGGGAACACATCGTCCCCAGCCCTGAATGACTCCGTGATCCTTGGGCCTCAAGGTTGCCCAGACGGCAGTGCCAGGGAACACGATGCGATTACAAAAATAAAATAAAATAAAATAAAATGGGGAGTGGCACTCAAGATATTCTATGGACAATGGGAGCTAGAAACTTGATCTTTATTGGGTGAAAGGGAAGACTCTCCCCAAAGATGATCAGATCATCGTCTGCCCTTCTCTATAGTCTTTTGTGGAGGGGAGGCTACAGACTCCAATCCCCTCTCTCAATCTCTGCCTTACATCAGCCAATCCAGAGTCCTTCTGGGAGGAACCAGGAAAGCAAATGCCAAATTTTGTTGTTGTCCCCATCATCACCAAAGCACTGGGGCACTCCCCACCCACGGCCTGGGCCTGAGGAAGATTAAGGGCAACCCCCATGGGCCAGGCGTCAAGACCTCCCTTGAAGGGTGATTGCCAGGGTGAGCCCGAAAGTCCTTCTGGGCTCCTCTTCCCCCCCCACCCCCCAACACTTCCTGCTTCCTATCCGATTTTGAGTTGGGTTACCTCCGGCTGAAGCCGGGCACTCTCACTTCCCCCCCAAGGACAGAGCACATTTCCTCATTTCACACCCAAAGGACGTCCAGACAGCTGTGGCAGAAGGAAACCTTGCCAAAAGGAAGTGGATTTTGGACAAACGCTGACTCTTGAATGAAGATGGCCCATTGCAAGCAAGCACGCGCGCGCACACACACACATTGATTTGATGTCTTTGTCCAGGCAGCACTTCCGGCCTGAAAGTTATAAACTCCGACCTATCGTTGCTCAAGCAGAAATTAAGCCATCAAGGAAAGCCCCACAGACAGAGCACTGTGGCAGTCAGGCTCA